CCGACCGGTTCTTTACCATTTATTGAAGGGAGGTGTCGTCAGCAGTTGGTGAAAAGTGGAATGGCGCCACGCCAAGCGCAACTCCCTGGCACGCCTATGCAACCGCAGCCGACAAGACTGCATGTAGATGGACTTGAATACGTATTTATCCAAGATATGCGGGTGAAATGTTGTCGCTGGGAACGATTATCTAGAGGTCTTTTGGCGCTCGTAGCTATAAGTAGAAAATGTCATTTTTGAGCTCTTTTAGGGTCATACGGGTCGTCCTCAACGTAGAACATGGGAGAATCAGACATTTATCAAAAGCGAGCATGATCTCGTCAACCAGCCAGATCTTGTACCAACCGTTCCTAGCGAAGATGTATGTTTTCTGTGGTCTTTGAATTGATTCTCTTCTAAAAATAACCTAGACTTGTTCAGGATCAACTTTCAAAGACAATCTCCATGTCCAATTGGCGCGGTTCCACGACGGTCACGAGATTCTCGTGAGTCATACGATGTTACTAGTGCGGCTGCTTCTGAACAAGCTTGCGGGCGGATCGTAGATGAGGCCCGAAAGTAAAGACGTAAAAGTGATCCGAGTGTGAGCGCCATATTTAACCCATTCGCGATTACAATTACTGTATAGGAAGTCGTAAATTTATAGTTTCAGATCCAGAACATGCACCGACTCTTTCACAACCATCACCTCCCCGTGATCCAGCTAATCATACGAATGGAACGAGCTCTGATACGAGCAGGTATCAGTATTTTCAATCTTTCTTTTCATGTAAACAAAGTGAATTTTTGCGGTTTAGAAGTGCGGCACCCTCTGGTCCAGCGTTTGTGGTTAGCGACGATCAAGCAGCCGAGGATTTCGATAAAATTGTAAGTTCTTTCCACTAGATTGTTTGGGAAAACAGCCGGATAGAGTACTCCAAACTGCGTGTAAATTAGGTGCGTAGAAGCACCGAATGCGTGAAACATCACACAGTTTTCGCCTAGGCTACCCCTATCGAGGAATGCGAAAATGGCGTTGCTCTCGCTTCCTTGCCTAAAGTCGGGTCTTCTTTCCTTCCTGGCGGTGCGCCTAATTGTATGCATTTACGGAGCGGAGACATTTAATTTCACGCGCAGTTTCCGCGGGTACTGTATCGCTCCTGTGTTCCCAGACTTAAAATATTGTGCTCTTTTGTTGTTTTTCCTCATCCACGTAGGACTTCGCTCAGTGACTCAGAGCTTTTCTTTGTCTCTTTCGCTGGAAGGCGGGCAAGACAACCGACATTTGTTTCGTCGCCGAACGCGGCGTGTTTCACGACCATGCGCCGCGAATCCTCGATGTGCGCAAGTTTATCGATTGGATGGACAAGACTCCTTGACGGGCGATTCTGAATTTTCCCCATCCCTTCGACCCTCATATTCAATCAGCCAGACAGGACAACTCGTCTGTCGGGCGCGGCGTCGCTTGCCACTCCCGCCATCGCGGCAAATTGCGGTTGTCTTGCCACGCACCGCTTTTGCTGGAAAGTCTTGGGCATTAGAAGAGTTCCTTTTTCTCTATCACCACTTGATATACTTTTGAAGCTGCAGCCGCTTGAATGTTTTACTATTGAGATTAAATTTTCAAATTGTTTATTTCTTCCACCATCCTCTTTCTTTCGTTTGGTTTCAGGCGGAACAGCGTCGACAGGCCAAGCGTGCTGCTCTTCTAGCTAAGACCATGAAGCGCAAAGAAGAAATTGAAAATAAGGTTTGCTATAGTTTTGATCAACCTTGCCCTTCGTTCTTTCATTTTCCTACTGGTACATGGATACTGATCAAGCTGGTAACTGAAATAAGTTAACCTGGCAGTACTAGTTGAGATGAATATAACTACATAGTTTTTCGTTAGGTCGATCAAATCGAGCAAAGGAATGCCGAAAAGCGAATGGCTGAATTGGCCAAACGTGAAATGGCAGAACAGCGAAAGTTGGAAAAAGAGCTTCAGCGGTCAGTTATGGATTTCACTTCCAAATTGCCTGTTTTACTAGAGTTCTTTTTAGTCAGAAGATTTTGGATGACTATAAACGACGAAAAATGGAGAAAGAGCTTGGTTTGGAATCGGGATCGAATTCTGCTCGTGGGGCATCTGGTCGTGGCCATTCTCAACCGCCATTTGTACGAACCAAATCTCAGGTAAGATAGCTACGAACCTTATCAAAGGAATCGTATTTCGATCTATGTGAAGAAGAGGGGTTCTGTTTAAGTCTGCGGTAGGGTCAAAGTTGGTGTATGTTGGGAGACAGTGTTCAGACTTCGCGATAACGCTCATCATTAACGAGCTGTAATTGTGCTCCAATCCTAAGACGCGAACGCAGCCGTAGACGGGAAACGACCTGTGCCGACGGCACCACCTTAGCGGACAGTGCCGATGGATAGCAGACTGAGTGATTAGGCAACGCGTGCCCTATAGATCCCCGATACTTTCTCTGGACACAAGCGACACCAATCGACTCCCGTCTGCGGGTGTATTCGTACTGTAGCGTTGGAGCACTGTGGCGATCATAGCGCGTTAGAGCGCGTCGACGCGCGTCATCTCAAAGTTTGAACGCTGCCGAGGTAGGGAGTGGATTAGAGTTTTTGTTCATCTCCTTGGAACATACCTAATGGTACCTATTACCTATCAATTTACTCCCGCTCGACAGAGAAATCAGAAGCAAAGTCGGGAATAGAGGGGTGGATTGAGCGTAATGGTACGCTGTGAAAGGGGGAGGGATCATAGTTACATTGACATTTTCCGCATTTATGTGATGCTCTCTGGGTAAGATTTATCAGTTTGTCTGCGGAACAACTTTCTTTGGATTTAATTCCTTTATATACTAGTACTGACTTCCTGTATATGTAGAACTGCTTTGATTTTACATGAAAGATTTATTTTAGATGTCTGAATCAGCACTGGGTGCTGAGGGAAATGACAAAGGACGTCTTCCTCGTGCTCGTGGACAGTCCACTGTAGAACAAAGAATCTCTGTACAAAGTCTGCAAGAGCCAAGTAAGCTCCTTTGGAGTTATTTCAGAAAGTTTTTTTAAGCTAGCTGTTAGCCGTGCAATCGACTTCAAACGACCATGTAATTAGGTTTAAATGCATAAAATGAGATAAGCCATTTGCTATGAAGTGAGGTAGTTGAATCATTAGGAAAGATTTCCTTGTGAAGAAGAAGTGTGCATTCGCAGTTAGAATTAGTTCTTACTTTCCTGCATCGCCTAGACAGACAACGTCGCGAAAGCACAGTTGAGCTTTATTCTCTCTTTGAAGCCTCGATATCGATTTGTTATGTTGCGACGCGACGCGGTGCTGCGCAAAGCGTTTCGCTGCGTTCTGGTCTCGTCCCTCTCATGAGTACAGCAGATACGGTGCGACAAAACAGTCTCTTTCGCTGCGAATGTTGGAGGCTAGGTTTGGCTCGGTGCCAGCCCGTTTTCCAGCATTTGTTGTTGCTTGCCGGCTTCAACCGTTGGTGGGGGCGAGCCTGTACCGTGCCACAACCACGTCCGCTGATGAGCCCAAGCTTCGGCAGCAAATAACATGATAAATCAGCCCAGCAGTTGAAATTCTTTCCTATCTTTTTCACCATTACGATTTTCTCACTTCATATATTCTGATTAATCGCGATGGTGTAGTGGGCGGGTATCACGCGCCTTGGGTGGAGGGTGCTCTAACTTCTAATGCCTTTACTATTGTGATGGTTCAATAGTGAGTTGAGGGGAATGTCTGTTTTTCTTCGGTAACTGGGACCTGCACACTGTCCACGCTTGTTACCGTAATTTTTGGCTACTCCCTGAATACGACACGTGTGCAAATAATCCTTGTTTGTATGTTTTCAGCCCATAAATTATTTGCAAGAGCTACTCCAAAATCAAATCGTGGATTAATCATCAATGCGTTGCAGTATAGTGTTTTCCCTGGAGCTGTCAACGATACGACAAGAATGAAGGTTTGTTTTACAGTGGTTTACTTAATTTGCAGCCTATGGCGACCCTCATTTTCATTGTTTAATTTCAGACGATGAACGATTTGGCCGCGTCAGATGCGAAACATTTCTTGGTCCTGTTCCGTGACTACAAATGCCAGTACAGAGGCCTTTACAGCTGGGATCAGGTGCTGATTCACGCGCTCTTTGCTTTTTTGAAGCGTTTATAACTTTTTCTTGTAGTTGAAGATTTTTTTCAAATGGTGCAGTTTGCAATATTTTCTTGGCTCCCCATTTCTATTGCTCTATGCGTAAAAAGAGACTCTCATTCATGGATATTAATGATTGAGTTCACCTTAAAGGCACTACGACTACATGCTAGGTAGATCTGCTCTCCCTCATAAGATGAGCAGTTCGTAGACGACTCTTGCGTTGTAAGGGCGCTAGAGGCCTGCGACGTTGGGTGCTTTCCACCCAGAGGGTGAGATCCCCGCCCGCTCCACCAGCGCGATCGATTTCGATGAGACAGTAGATGTTAAGGTCCAAAAGGTGAAAGTGGCGTGACGAGGAGAAGGAGCTGCTATTGATATCAACAGGGAATAAGCCATCCCAACAAATCTATGCTGCATAGCGCTCGGGACCAAAGGGATTCCAGAGTGTTATGAACCTGTTTGGTCTTTTTCTTCACTGACGCGTCATTTAGCCTTTCCTCATTCATGTTCAGGCGCCATTATCTTGATCTTCCCATCGCGTATCGCCCTTAAGGAGTCTTCTACTCGTTCCGAGTAATAGTAACTCAAATGCTATGTTCACAGTTTCATTTTGTAGTCGACATTTTCAGGTATCAGATACGGCTATCAAGATATCGGGACAGGGCCCAACCAAGTGCGCCGAGAGTATCATGAAGCTGATGTTCAAGTAAGTGTTTTCCATTCGAATTTCTCGAATTTTCTTTCTTATTTCCGCCATTTTTAAAGTTTCTGATCCTTTTCCAATCGATTATTGATGACGTATTCGTCTTTTTTGTGTGGAAATGGGTCTTTCCTGTACGTGGACATTAGTCTGTTGGCAGTTTCGCTTATCCATGAAAATCCTCAGTTTGTCGCGGACGGGTGCACCACTCCCGTATGTGCGATCGACATCGGCGGTCACAGCACATCAACTCCGCCTGCGCCGCATCTAATCCATCGGTTCGCCATCGGGCGCGCACTACTACCCCCTGCGCCGGCCAAACAGGTAGGACGGGACCACGCCTCGGGGACCATGGGGTCTTACCGCCTATTCAACCGCCCCAACAGCTAGACGACAAGGACCAGGGTACCCAACCCTACCTACACATGGTCTAATACACACGCATTACCCACGCAATACACAACATTGACACATATAAAACGATGGCAATACCAACATATTGAACACAACTACACATTGCGAACAAACATATTTACTACGCGAATATACTCACCACAATGAAATAGATATTCTCTCCCTGGTCGCCGTCTCACGGGCATCGTTCCATAGCTGGCTGCGTAATAGGCCCCCCTGGGCTCTGCCCCTCTAGCTACGTAATAGGCCTGCACGGCTTTACCCCTTGTACGTAATAGCGCAATATGCTCCCAACTTGCCGACGGTACTCCTCGTTGCTCCATGCGATCGTCGATGTCCTCGTCGGGGCTGGAGTGGAGGCTGCTCCCAGTCGGGGAGCAGGGGATGGACATCGGCCGGCTCATTGGCCGGCGCTCGGGCTGCCTCCAGCTTCGGAGTGGACTCCACCCCTCTGCCTTCGGCGCTGTCATCCGCGTTGCCCGGTGAAAACCGACCGGCCGCCGGCTGCCAGCCGTCGAACGTACTATACTAGCCACGACCGCAGGGGGCGGAGCCACGGCGCACGTGAATCGCACGCCGTGGGAACCGGGCATAGATGGGCCGGGGCGCGAGGTGCGCCCAACGGCGACCGTCGCATCCGCGACACTCCCGAGGCGCGCGAGAAGTCGCCGCGGGGGGTCGGAATGGTCAAGTCCCCGCCGGGAGAAGTAGACACCAAACGCCCAGAATTGAGGCTATGAAGTTGAATATAATTAGTGCAGCTAATGGAACTCCGCCCTCACAACTTTCCTACCTACAGGCGACCACACTACCCCGCAGCAAATTATAAATAATAAACCATGGGTGCCTTAAGGGCCAAACCCCAAAAAATCATCACTTCAAAAGGTTATGACAAATGGTGGTGGTGCCTTAAGGGCATCCAGAAAAAAAAGAGGTACACCTTAAGGGTGACCGAAAAACAACAAAGCAGAAATACAGTACAGCGAGAGACTACGTATTAAACCCCCACAGCGAGAAACAAAGGACACCAGAGCGCGCTTAGGGCCACTCTAAAGAGAAACACAGGAAAGATAAGGATGCCTTAAGGGCAACTCCAAAAAAAGAAACAGCGATAGAGGCGCCTTAAGGGCCACCTCAAAAAGGAAATCACAAGTAGGTGTCGTTGTAACTCGCCGCCGTTTTACTGTCACCATCCACACCAGTCAGTCCACAAGCGAATCGAACCACACGGCGTCCGGGAATAACTCGTCGTCGTTGACCGATAACGTCACTATTCTCGTCCGTGTGTGTACCAACTGCTGTCGAACTCGATCCTCGAACCGGCTTGCAACCACCACTGCACTTGACCAATCGACTCGAACCGACCATCGCACTCGCCAACTGACCAACTCGATCTTGCCCGACCAGCAACTTGCCACCTGCTGCCACTCAACCTGGAAAACAGAAAAGGGGGTGCACACCCGAAGGCGTGCTTTGAAGGTCGACATAGATCACAGACATGAGCAACCATCGTAAGTGAGAGTAAGTGAAACTTACCTGCGACAACTCGTCTGTGAACGCGTGCATGAAGCAGTCGACCACGAACTTGCAGTACGATACGCATTAATAAACACAAACGTATTACAATTTAATGGCGTATTAGAATTTCCTCGAAGAGCCTCGTGCTCAGAGCCGCACTGCACGCCGTAATCAGCGCCCGGAGACATCGTCCACTCGAGTTCTTTGGGCGCTTGACATCCTCATTCCAATTGCGGCTGGTCCTCACGACCTTCTGCATTCTGCTCCTCTGGCGCTCGAAGTCTGGACCCTGGGGGTCCAGCCTCCCACCGGCGGCAAGAACCAGCCTCAGCGGAGCAAAGGACTGGGCGATTAATATGTCTAGAAAAGACCAGCGTCCAGTCTGATCACGCACTAGTGGGGAGTTTTGCCTGCTGTGTGAGGCTAGACGTATTATCTTTGCGATTCGGCTTCGCATCGCAAATGTCTTAACTTTGTCACGATACGTAGTAAAGGCTGCAGACTGAGTCATCTTTTGATTTACGTAGTAACCACGCATTAGACGTAGGCTTCTCGACAGTGCTTCCTGTGGGCACTCCGTGAAGCATTGGGAAAGAACCGTTTCAGTGGTGACCCTCGTCTTCAGTGTCCATGAGATCTCCGACATACCGCATTTCGAGTGGTTCAACATCGATGCAACTTTCGTTCCGGTGATTATCACGAAATCGCACCGATCGCGGCTGAGGAGATTGGCGCTTGGACGTATTAGGCTTCGAAGACTGTGATGACACACACCGTCGACGTTGTCACGAACGCGAATGATGACAATCGTCTTCCCACGGTCTTATAAGCCAACGAAATAGTCGTTACCGTCGACGCATTAGTCAATAGTGTCTGGTCCCATGCTATTTCTCCGCTTTCCCATAAGCGATCGTGGGATTGACACGGTTTCCCTTGCTTAGCGTGAGAATGACGTGGCTTCTCATGCCGAGCGTGGGAATGACGTGATTTCTCATGCCGAGCGCCGATCGATTGGCGCGCGAGTCTGGGAACAGACTCAGCGTGTCTCTATCGATCAGCTCAACGGCAAGATACCACGAATGCCATGCATCGATCGGAAAATAGAGTATGAACAAGGGACCACGCATTAAGGGAATGGAAAAGGGAAAGAAGCGAAATACATGAAGGGCGAATTATGAGTGAACGGAACTTGAGTGTGAGTTGACCGTTCGAACGCATTAGGGGAACGCATTAAACCGCAATACACGTTGGAAACGTAGTAATAGGGAGAGAAAAGAGGAAATGACTAAATACTAAATAGCAACTAGTAAAGTAGGAGAAACACTACAAAGGGATAGCATTGTAGAAGGAAACACTAAACTTACCATAACTGTGGTAATGCCATCATTTTCCACTGAACCTTGGGGCGAGTACGGGTTGATGGGTGACCTTTTAGATGGGCGCTGGGTGCACACAAACCAGGTAAGAACTTTGCTAAACCCCAAGAGGAATAATTAAGCTTCTCTTCTGAAGCAACCTACCCACTGCATGCCGTAGAGTAGATCCTGTGCCCAACACACTCGCGCCCAACACGCCAACAGCGTCGTCGTACCCAGTGATCCCATCGAAAGGGCGCGCCTCGCACCGAGGCGCTCACGACGGCTTACGCCCGCATACTCCCCTCAACCCATGACACGAGGGAGCTGGGTCCTGCCTCGCCCCTACCCAAGGCGGCTCATCGGCAGGAACCCGCGGCGAGTTACTTAAGATTCCTCTTGGAGTCTACCTCAGAACCTCCCCGGGTATCCTGGTCACGGGAAGGAAATGTCCCGGGAAGGGTTGCTAGTTGGCAGGTTGCCACAGTCCTGCCGGACCAGTAACCCAAATCCTTCCCCGCCAGTTCGCACCCCGGGTTAGGCCGCTGCACTCAGCGTCCTACGATGCCGAAAGAGGGGAGGGTGCTCTCCAGAATGACCTGGAGTCCCCTTACCGGCTCCACCAACCCCAGTACACCCGATGGGTCGGGAGCGGCTCCAGTGGTGGCCGTCCCCGAACTTGTTCCCTGGTCTTTGGTTCGGGAACAAGCGGGTCCGGTTCTCACGGCCTAGATGCACCATGTCGCGGACGGGTGCACCACTCCCGTATGTGCGATCGACATCGGCGGTCAACGCACTCAAACTCCCGGTGCGCCGACTAACCAATCGGTCGCCCCATCGGGCCCACTACACTCCTCCTGCGCCCCCTAACAGGAGGAGCGGACCACCCCTCGGGGACCATGGGGTCTTACCGCCTATTCAACCGCCCCAACAGCTAGACGACAAGGACCAGGGTACCCAACCCTACCTACACATGGTCTAATACACACGCATTACCCACGCAATACACCACATTGACACATATAAAACGATGGCAATACCAACATATTGAACACAACTACACATTGCGAACAAACATATTTACTACGCGAAATACTCACCACAATGAAATAGATATTCTCTCCCTGGTCGCCGTCTCACGGGCATCGTTCCATAGCTGGCTGCGTAATAGGCCCCCCTGGGCTCTGCCCCTCTAGCTACGTAATAGGCCTGCACGGCTTTACCCCTTGTACGTAATAGCGCAATATGCCCCATCTTGCCGACGGTACTCCTCGATGCTCCATGCGATCGTCGATGTCCTCGTCGGGGCTGGAGTGGAGGCTGCTCCCAGTCGGGGAGCAGGGGATGGACATCGGCCGGCTCTTGACCGGCGCTCGGGCTGCCTCCAGCTTCGGAGTGGACTCCACCCCTCTGGCTTCGCGCTGTTCCTCATCGCGTTGCCCGGTGAAAACCGACCGGCCGGCCGCCGGCTGCCAGCCGTCGAACGTACTATACTAGCCACGACCGCAGGGGGCGGAGCCACGGCGCACGTGAATCGCACGCCGTGGGAACCGGGCATAGATGGGCCGGGGCGCGAGGTGCGCCCAACGGCGACCGTCGCATCCGCGACACAGTTACACTCCATGGGCTTGGCTGCGTATTTTGTCTCAACATGGGTAGAATAGGTTTTTCAAAGCTTCGAGAGAGAAAACGGGCGGAATTTCTCATAAGGGCGGGTCTTGAC